CATTTCCTGCACACGCCTGTGCACGGTGGCTCTGGATGTTTCTACTCCAGACTCAGTCCACTGCTTCCGCAGGTCCCCCAAGGTCTGGAATCGGCCCTTCTCCACAATCCTCCTCAGGGTCCGGTCACCTCTTCTCGTTGTGCAGCGTTTTCTGCCACACTTTTCCCTTCCCACAGACTTCCCACTGAGGTGCCTTGATACAGCACTCTGGGAACAGCCTATTCGTTCAGCAATTTCTTTCTGTGTCTTACCCTCTTGCTTGAGGGTGTCAATGATGGCCTTCTGGACAGCAGTCAGGTCGGCAGTCTTACCCATGATTGCGGTTTTGAGTAATGAACAAGGCTGGGAGTTTTTAAAAGCCTCAGGAATCTTTTGCAGGTGTTTAGAGTTACGTCGTTGATTCAGATGGTTAGGTTAATAGCTTGTTTAGAGAACCTTTTCATGATATGCTAATTTTTTGGGACAGGCATTTTGTGTTTTCATGAGCTGTATGCCATAATCATCAGTATTAAAACAATTAAAGACCTGAAATATTTCAGTTGGTGTGCAATGAATATGAAATATATGAAAGTTTCATTTTTATCATTACATTATAGAAAATAATGACCTTTATCACAATATGTTAATTTTTTGAGAAGGACCTGTATTTATGTGTATATGTATGTGTATATCTATCTATCCATCTATCCATCTATTTATCTATCTGTCTATCCATCTATCCATCTGTAGAAGGATGCAAATATCAGTGGAATTGTTTGGATGAATTTTAATCTGAGGGAAAAGCCAAACTGAATAAACCTAAAGAATTATATTCTGTAAGATATTCCATTTTAATGACTCTGTCTCTTCTGTTTACATTCAGACTTGTACTGAATGACTAGATGAAGACAGAAATGCTGTGACTATTTCTGTGTAAATAAACATTTTTTATTATAGGAAAAATGCTTAGAAAGAATAAAGTTTAAAAACTTAACCCTCATATACAACTATTATAACAGTTTTACAGCTGATCCTTTGACGTATATTGACATAAATAAAAAAATGTTTGTGTAGATCTCATGCATACCTGAAGGCTGTGACTATGGATTTGGTGTAATATTTTGAGAGAAGAGGATCTATCTTGTAGTATTCCCCCAGCTATATAAAGAAAAAACAAAAAGTGTATTAATGAACAGGACCTGTGAAAAAAAGTCAAATTCTTCTTCTACAAACAACATGCACTGTCAGCAAAAGTTAGGCGCTCAGATGGAGAGGTGAAAATGAAGCTGCACCTGTTGAAAGATCATGCGACTGTATTACAATGACTACATTAGAATAACTAGATAATAAAATTGAGCATACAACATACAGCTTGTCCCATGTTAGAGTGTGACATTCCTTTGGGACTGGATAGATATGAGTTAGTTAAGAAACATTCATTAAGCCATCATATCTTATTTGACTGCAAGTCAACCCACAGCTGATATAACCAGCCCTCAAGATCTAGCAGATCAGCACTGGTTTGGAGTCAACACCCTGCAGTCTATAGAAACATGTATGTGTGGTGACATTGTTCTGTTGAAAGACTACCAAGGTGCTGTCTCAGGAGGGGTAAGACATGGAGACAGGATGTCACTGATGAAGCATTGTGTCATAAGAGTTCCCCAAATCTACAAACGACCTTAGGTCATATATGGCTCATCGCACCAAGATGCCAGGAGTAACAGGTGTGTCTCTACACAACTACAGCAGGGTTGATACTCCCACCTTGGTGCTGCCATATGTGCCCACAGTGGTCATCTTGTGTTAACACAAAACTGAGATTCATCATTGACTTATGAGTCCGTGCCTTCTGGGCACAGCACCACTTTAAACTCAGCTGTCTCTGGTGGTAGTGTCAGCTTAAGCATGGGAGGGGAAACCCATACAGGACAGGACATCACGAGGAGTTGTAAGGAGTTGTTCGGTTGTTTGTCTGACCATTCTCCCTTGGTGTTGTCCAGCTTGGAAAGCCAGAACCTTCACAACACGTGTGAATGCTCTCATGCAAAGGTGTCGCAACCATTATATGTAAAGGGGACAAGTCCCCCCCACATAAAAAAAAAAAATCCTTTTGACCCCCCCCCCCCCCCCCCCATACTTTTACTATAAAACATTAGTTCAGGCGGCACAGTTTCTATTTCTTTGTGGAACAAATCCATTCCACTTGATTAATAGGAGAATACTCAAGTCACTAAAACTCCACTCCAGGTTTTCCTGGTTACCTCCAACTCGCCACCGTCCCTTCCTGCCTCTTGCCTCGGCAGAAAACTAGCACAGGTGGAGGTACCGGTGTTCCTCGCTCGCCAATTTAGTAGCTTAGTGCGGGCAGTGGTTGACCAGGGGGTTGATTATAAACATATATTCATGTTAGGAGGATGTTTGAGAGGAGCTACGTCTGTAGCATCTTAGCTTAGCAGTAACTGTGACGCTGTAAGACGCTGCAGGTGTAAGAGACTCTGTGTGTTCAGGTGCATTAAAGTTGAAATGTCTTTAAAACCCCACATCTTATTGTCCTCAAGCTTCATGAGAAACATCATTTAGAAGAGGAGTGTTGAACACAAGTAAAAAAAAGTCCAGTGGCGATGTTTTTTATTTCTCTATAAAGACAAATAGTGCCGACCTGATGCTCTGTATTAAAGTGTATTGAAGTTAAAATGTCTTTAAACCCTCAGCTGAATTTACACAAACTTGGTGAGAAACGTTTTAAATGTGTGGAATTAAAGGAAATTAGGTGAAATGCTGCTTTTTTTGTTCACTAGTGAACACCTTTTTTCACGTGGGCACACACGTGCACGCGCGCACACACGCACCTACACACATCATTGTGTCCCCCCCACATTACGGATGCTTCTGACGCCCTTGCCCTCATGTATCCATTGTTTCCAACAATGGGTCACTGGGAGAGGTGCACACAAAACACAGGCCAGTCATTTGCACAATATGACAAACCAGCATCATCCAAGCCCTCAGGCCTCATGTAGCTCATTCCTTCTGTTTATTTTTTCCAGTAAGTTTAGATGTATATAATTTATATTTTGCTTGTTTAATAGCCTTTTTATTGTGTGTCATGTTTGTTTTAGTGTTTTTTTATATACATTTCTTGATGTGAACTGTGGTCTATCTAGATTCTCCTTCAATGATGTGAATTTCCTGAAGGACCATTAAAGAGGTATTCTAGCTTATGCATGAATCTGCAACAGAAAAACTGGGTTTCAGCTTATTTTTCAGAAGTAAACACATGTTGAAAGGAAAAAAAAAAGTAAAAAGTAAACAAAAAAGATAACATTTTACAGCAAACCCAACATTTAAATGATTAATAAATAGACTTTGGTGTCCGTTTTGATAATTCAACTCAGAAACGTAAAACACAAAAGCAACTACATGCAAACGTTTCAGAACTCCGTGGATCTAAAGTGCCAAGTAAACTAAAGGAGCAGTTGTTTAAGCACAAAACTTGTTAAGTTTCCATGTTTTGTTGACTTAATGCCAAACTCCATATGTTCTGCCTCTCGTGTTAAGTATAGTCCATGTAATTTTATATGCTGCATGCAAACTTTGTAGATCAAAAAGCTTTCTCTCAATTATCAAGTCATCTTCCTACAACTTTGTCTTCAATTCCCCGCTCTACGTCGGCCTCACTAATCTGTGATATTTTATCCTGTGATGGAAGTGTTTGAGTGTGGGCTTTTTGTTATCAACATGCTCCTAAGTGGTGCTACAAACATCTCCTCTGCCTCCAGTATTTTAAGGGAATTACTAAGGGAATGTGCAGTGTTTTATTCTTCCACCCACTCAGATGTGCCTAAAGCAGTTTGTGTGCACTAGGAGGGACATTTAAAAAGCACTTGTGAACAATGTTCACAACTTATCCGTAGTAAGAGGTCCTCTGTTGAAAATAGTTGGCAGAAACAATGTACCATAGATACACACGAAGAAAAAAAACAACTATACAGTAGAAAAGGCTATTATGCTGCAGGGGTTTTGTACTTACATCAGTCTCCAGTTTTGCTGCTAAGTCCTTGAACTCCTGGCTGTCAGTGTCCTCCAGCTTTTGGTCATACGTCGCACCCATCAGCTTCATGTGGCCACTGAATAATGGCTCTGCAGGGATGCGATTCTTACTAAGGGTGGCTTTAGAATTGGAATCTTTAACTTGGATAAAAAAAGATGCATGAGAGTCAAGTGTTGGATCGACAAAATGCAATACTTGCTTTCGATGAACGAGGAAACATTTGAGCAGTCCTTCAAGCACAGTCCTCAGTTGTGCAGCACAATCTCAAACTGTGAAGTTTGCCTCTCACAGCAATTAAGACAGCCACTTGAATGAAGAAACCAGAGAAGTTTATTAAGACCTCAAAGGCCTTTTTATCAGGTGCTATGTGTGTGTAAATGACAAAAATGTGCCATGGCTCACCAGTTTCCCCAGTACTACTGGATGAGAGCATTACGTTACTAATGTTGACCGTTGTCGACTGGCTAGGGGAGTGCTACTTTAGGTCATAGTCACTTATCCTGTGGCGACAATCTGCACTCCCCAATTGTTAGAAGAACTTGTCAGTCAGAGTCAGAGATTCTTTATTGTCATTCGCACCTCACGTGGTGCATGTGGTGGAGTGAAATTATGTACACAGGGTCCCAGTTACATCCAACAATAAAATGTATAAGAAAAACAGTAATAACATCTAAGATATGAACTAAGAAAAACATCAACTAAATATACACTAAGCACTCATAACATAAAACATTAAACATCAGCACAAACATGAACACGAGTCTGTGTGAGCGGATGTGCACGCATGAACACATCAACATTTAAACAGATCAGCAGCAACATGAAACAGATCAGCAGCAACACGATGTGGTTTTTCACAGTGATCATTCTAGTTAGAGATTCATGAGTCTAACAGCCTCAGGGTAGAAGCTGTTCCTCAGTCTAGTGGTTCCACACTCAATGCTCCTCAACCTCCTTCCCGAGGGGAGCGGGGCAAAAAGTGTGTGTGCTGGGTGAGTGAGGCCCTCCATGATGCAGACAGCCCTCTTCCTGCATCTAGAGGTGCAATGTCTGCGATGGTGGGGAGGCCGACCCCGACAGTCCTCTGTGCAGCCTTCACCACTTTCCGCAAAGCCCCTCTTTCTGCAGCTGTGCAGCCTCCACGCCACACGTTGACGCCAGAGCACAGGACGCTCTCCACTGCACACCTGTAGAAGGAGGTGAGGACTGAGCTTCCCAGACCAGCTCGCCTCAGCCGTCTGAGGAAGTAGAGTCTCTGATGAGCCTTCCCGATCAGGCCGGCGGTGTCGCCGCCCCAGCCGAGGCCGTCATTCACGTGTACACCCAAGCACCTGTAGCTGGAGACCACTTCCACCGCAGATCCTCTTATGTTCAGGGGGGTGTAGATGTTTTTGTTCCCTCTGAAGTCCACAATCATCTCCTCTGTCTTCCTCACATTGACATGAAGATTATTATCTTTGCACCAGCTCTCCAGGTGTTCCACCCCTTGCCTGTAGCTGGACTCATCATTGTTTGTGATGCATCCCACCACCGCTGTATCATCTGCAAACTTTACAATGCGACAGCCTGGATGGGTAGCTGCACAATCATACGTGAGCAGAGTAAACAGGAGGGGGCTCAACACACATCCCTGAGGAGAGCTCAGAGTCATGTAGATGACAGTGGGAAAAAAAAATTACAGTAGTCCCTCGTTTTTTTTTTTTTTTTTTGGTTATTTGTTTTTTTTTTCCCCTTGTCCTGTTCAGCATTGTGACACTTGTGGCGGGGTAGCAAGGGTGATGTCGGTAGCCAGGGCCCTTGGTTATGTTGACAGGGCGGAGCGCCCTCCTTGTATAATGGTAGGGCAAACACTGCTCATGACATCAAAGTTCATGCTCAATAATTCAAGTAGAAAATCCAACAAAGTTCAGTCAGGTCATCTGAACGGCTTCTTTTTTTGATGAGACGTTTCGTCCTTCGTCCAAAGGACTTCATCAGTCCCAGGAGCCACAAACAAACTCAGTTCCACAAGCAGCGCACCCACATGGTGGACCAACCAGTCTGATGGTTGCTGCTGGTGACTGCTCATGACATTTTTCTCTTTTGCACAATTAAAAGCAGACTGTCAGAGCAGTCAAATAGGCTAAGGCTAATGGGAAATTAAAGTCCAAACACGCCACTCTTACACATTTATATCCGAGTTCTGCCTTCACAGCACATGTAAACAATCCACTTTTCAGTCTATGATGTTCAGGCTGTTTTGACAGTAAGTGACCCCAGCACTGCCAACACATGAATTTCACTTTATATCTAGAATATCTTTGAATCTAATAGATTGTCTAGGATTTGGTAATTGTTGAGTTAAATGTACCCAAGTGCTGTGCTCCAAGAATCTGCTCCACATAATAAACTGATATTAAATTTGTCAGTACTTACAGACAAAAAACCAAATAAGGAATGCTGCAACAGATGTGAGAATAAAAAGCACCACAACAATGCCAATTAGGATCCCAGTTTTTTTCTTCGCCGGGACCTTCTCCTTGTTCTTTAGGAAATCGACACGTTCTTCGTTACCGTTTTGGCCCTAGAGTAGACAAAACAAGCACAATATAAATGGCAAGTCTGAAACAGTGTAGATGTAGATGACAGTGGGGAAAAAAAAATTACAGTAGTCCCTCGTTTTGTTTTGTTTTTTTGGTTATTTGGTTTTTTTTTTCCCCTTGTCCTGTTCAGCATTGTGACACTTAGAATTGTTGTCTGAGTGTCAAAGTGATGCCCAACAAATTTACTTTCACAAGCAGAGCATTATGGCTGGCCTTAACGCTCCACTTGATATATAAATTAAATTGTATTAGAATTTGCTTTGGGCTTGTTTCAGATGTAATGGCCATGGGGATGAAAAACAAAGAAGAAAACAAAGCAGGCAGCCACCAGGGCAGGCCCGCACACCCCACCACCCAGCCCCAGATGCTGAAAGCCACCAATACACTGGTGGCAGGGGGGCCCACCACCAGAGGGGAGCACGACAGGGGGAAGTAGACCCCACATTAAATTGGGGGGCCCAACTTGATCCAAGCGAGGGGACCAACTAAAAGTAGTCCCTCATTTAACACGGGAGATCCGTACCATGAAGCCCCGTGATAAGTGAAAAGCCGCAAAGTAGGAATAGTAGTACAAGTAGTAAGTACTAGTTTATTTTAGTGTGTGTGTATATATATATATATATATATATAAAGGCATTTTCCTTGGCCACGCCCACTTCTCTGCTGCACAATAATAATTTTAAATAATTTATTTTAAATAAAAATGTCATGCCTATTGTGTGGCTCATCCATCAATCAGCCAATTGTGTGTCATGTGTAATCTTATTTAAAAACCGCGATAGAGCCCGCGAAACACGAAACGCGAAGTAGTGAGGGACTACTGTAGTGCAAACCAGATCACCAAGTGTTTGTATCAGAAGTTGGTCCTTATCAGTGTTTCTTCATTTTGTTCTTGACTGAACTCGTCATTTTTGGAGCTAATTTACCATTTCACAATTTCAAACTTCTATGTAATCAAACATTGAGCATAAATGTATTTATAAATATATAAAACACATTACATTGTGTACTGGTCAAATGTTCCCTAGGTTACATTTATTTGTTCTCTGTCAATATAAACCATTGACAGCTAAACCTTAAAGCACAGAAGCCATGATTTGGTTAGTTTAATCTTGTACACGCAACCCTTTGTGGGTTAAAAAAAGGTTTCATCCATCCATCCATCTTCCGCTTATTCCGAAGTTGGTTTGCAGGGGGGCAGCACGGTGGCGCAACTGGTAGAGCTGCTGCCTCTCAGCGAGAAGGTCCTTGGTTCAAACCCCGGTCCAGGGGCCTTTCTGGGTGGAGTTTGCATGTTCTCTCCGTGCATGCGTGGGTTTTCTCCGGGTGCTCCGGTTTCCTCCCACAGACCAAAAACATGCATGTTAGGCTGATTGGTAACTCTAAATTGTCCCTAGGTGTGAGTGAGAGAGTGAATGGTTGTTTGCGACCCGTCCAGGGTGTACCCCGCCCCTCGCACAGTGATTGCTGGACATGGGCACCAGCGACCCCCGTGACCCAAAATGGAATAAACGGGTAAAGATAATGGATGCATGGATGGGTTGCAGGGGCAAAAACTTGAGCAGGGAAGCCCAGACATCTCTTTCCACAGCCACCTCTTCAGCTCTTCTGGGAGGATTCCAAGGCATTCCCAGGCCAACCGAAAGACATAGTCTCTCCAGCGTGTCCTGGGTCTTCCCCAGAATCTCCTCCCAGTCAGACATGCCCGAAGCACCTCCCTAGGGAGGCGTCCAGGGGGCATCCTTACCAGATGCCCGAACCACCTCAACTGGCTCCTCTCAGTGTGGAGGAGCAGCGGTTCTACTCCGAGTCTCTCCTGGATGACTGCACTTCTCACCCTATCTCTAAGAGAGCGTCCAGCTACCCTGCAGAGGAAACTCATTTCAACCTCCTGTATCCGTGATCTCATTCTTTCGGTCACTACCCAGAGCTTGTGACCATAGGTGAGGGTAGGAACGTAGACCAACCAGTAAACAGAAAGTTTTGCCTTACAGCTCAGCTCCCTCTTCACCACAACGGACCGGTACAGAGTCAGCAATACTGCAGAAGCTGCACCAATCCGTCTGTCAATTTCACGCTCCATTCTTCCCTCACTTGTGAACAAAACCCAGAGATACTTGAACCCTTCCACTTGAGGCAGAACCTCACCCTCGATTTGAAGAGAGCAATCCACCCTTTTATGGTTTAGGACCATGACCTCAGATTTGGAGGTGCTGATTCTCATCCCAGCCACTTCACATTGGCTGTGAACCACTCCAGTGAGAGCAGAAGATCACAGCACAACGACGACAACAGGACCACATCATCTGCAAAGAGCAGAGATGGAATCCTGAGGCCACCGAACTGGAAACCCTCCCCCCACTGGCTGCACCAAGAAATTCTGTCCATAAAAGTTATGAACAGAACCGGTGACAACCGAAAGCCCTGGTGGAGTCCAACTCTCATCCTGAAGGGGTCTGACTTACTGCCGGCAATGCGAACCAAGCTCTTGCACCACTTGTATAGGGACTGAATAGCCTGTAGCAACGAGCCCCCAATCCCCCCACGCCACCCAAAAAAAGTTTCAGTCATTAAAAAAATGCTTCGTGTGGTTAGATTATTATTCTGCCTGATCAAGAGTATTACATTGTGGACCTAACAGAAAAAAACACCAATCATATCAAATGTGTGCAGTTTTACACAATTATCACTTTCTTACTTTTTAAGTCTCCACTTCAACAGTAAGACATAGACTAAAGCAATAATACCACATACAGCACATTACAGCCCTGCTCCATGGACAGATTCAGGAAGTCCTTTGTCCCTCAAGCCATTCGACTGTTAAACTCCTCCCGTACAGAAAAAGTAGAGCCTTGTAAATCTGTGGCACCCCGGACACTTATGTACGAGTATGTACTGTATTTATATACTGTACTCCCTACCACCTTGTGCATATTGTCTTTTTCCAAATTTGTGTATTATGCTTCTTTTTTGATTATTTCATGTGTGTTGTCTCTTCTGTATAATGAGAACAGGTTACTGGATGCCTTGAATTTCCCCATGGGATGGATGGATAGATGGATGGATGGATTGACTGAGTATCTATCTATATCTATCTATCTTATATTATGCACTTAAACTATTATAAAGCAATCTAAAGCAATGGCCTGGACAAGTAAAGACATTGTACAGCATTTGACCTTGATTTGTGACCTTGAACTTAAAGCTGGAGGTGATGAAAAAATATATGACACACCGTATAGTGGTGGCATAAATAAGTATCAAATTTTGTTCAATTATCTTGAACCGATCAGAAGTTAAGGTCCAGGCAAGCAAAGACCTTGTATAACATTTGACCTTGATTTGTGATCTTGACCTTAAAGCTGGGGTGATGAAAAGTGCACAAGACACTGTCTAGTAATGATGCATATGTTTATAAAGTTTTGTTAAATTATCTTGAGTGAATCAGAAGTTATGAGTGGAACAAGAGGAATATCCTGATGCATGCTCAATAAGTTTACAAACGTATGGACAAAGACTACAACACGTTCGATGTGGGTATAAGAAGGCAACCTAACAATTTGTCATAAATATTTAGTGACTGCCATTAAAAAATGTTGGCTAACAGGAGTTTTTTTTTTTTTTTTTAATGAGCGTTGAAACCTTTTGAAAATTGTGATGTGATTTTTCTTCCTGACTTTTAGACAAACAGCTGCATGAGCACAGTGCCCCCATGTGTTACTGTGCCTCAGGGCCTTCAATACATTTTCATTTATATTTCATTTACCCTATATTTATCCAGGTAGTCTCATTGAGCCACAAGAACTCATTTTCAAGAGAGACCTGTTTTAGGGAGCAGATGGGGGTTAAGGGCCTTGCTCATGGAATCAGGATGGGGGTAGGTGTGGATGCTTCACCTACCCCACCCACATTTTTGATGTTGGCGGTAGTGGGGCTTGAACTGGCGATCTTCCGATCACAGACTCACCTTCTCTAGCCTCTGCTCCACCAATCCCCCACAATTTAAAAAGTTTATAAAACTTAAGTAGATGATGAAATGTCAGATTAAAAAAAAACTTTTGTGTAATAGAAGACTACTGTGACGGACACGCCTTGTTTTTCTTTCTAAGAGTGGGCAGGTTGTGGCAGGACACATTTGTAAAAACCTGCTCAGCAACAGTGACGGGCCCACCACTCACATGGTTCTACGCTTCATTTGCATTCAGCTTGACTGCACAATAACCTTAAGATAAGCTAGTAGAAAACACATGCATGACGACCAACAAAGTCCATGCTCATGCACAATGCTTTAAAGAAGTGCAAATCAGTGTGGTTTATGCGTTAGTCGTTGATCCTGCTTAAGTGGGTGGACTGAGAGAAAGGGTTTCGCCTGGTTAGTAATCAACACACAATGACTGCAGTGCCTGTGGCCCATGAGTGAAGAAGCCCGAGTGCCATTAGAGATGGAGAATCACTTTGGTATTAAATCAATTTGTCAGATGTGCTGCCCCTTAAGATGGGGGGCTCAATTACACGAGTCTAGATGATAACTCATGGCAATTAAGGCCTATTCCTGCCCCGCTCTGGCTTCCACACATGCTCTCTAATTGGAATCTGTAACAGCAATCATGGCCCAGAATGAGGGGAATCATTAGATAAGGGGTCAGCAAGTGCCCCAAGGTTCTACTCCATCAATCACCATGATCACAACCTAATAATACCATTACACTCTTCATAATCCATTCTTCACTGCTATCACATTTTTTTTACCTATTAGTCTTTGCTTCCAAATATTGGTCTTTTTTAACATTAACTAAAACTAAGCTAATGTCTGAAGCATTTTATACACCGCAGTGAGTTATCAGAGAGCATCAGTATGGTCTAACCAGTTTGACAAGTAGGACACGCCGTTTTAAGGTGTGGTTTTAGCACAGCAGCTAATCTTCAAGCAGCAGGTTGTTTTGAGTTTCTGTAACATTTCAACATACTCGTATAGGTTTCT